AGTACGTTAAAGAAAAGAGGCTTATCAGTCACTATGAATGGGGATGACACACAAAGTTAATTCTTGTCTTCATTCACGGATAAGTGTTTTGGGGTGTGCGGTTCATGTGCTTTTTCTTTTCCTTGCTAAAATTGGGATAATTGTCAGAGCTCCTAACTCAGCTGGAGGGTTTATGGATTAAAGTGTTCCTGAGAAGAGGCAGTTTCTGAATAAAATGCTTGAAATTAAAAACCCTTCTGGCAATCTTAGATGGACTTTTGCCTTCAAAACCATGAATATTACCAGAATGACATACTTTTAAAATAACTGCCATGTTGAGTTTTTCTTTTATTTCAAACAATAATAAAATCTTGCAGTTAGCATGACATTTTCTCCACAAAGGATTCAAGCTCCTCTGCAGGTACTTTCTTTAAAAAAACAAACAACACATTTGTTTTTGGAGGCATCAAGAGGACAAGGTTACAAAGAAATGTTAGGTGATTTGTTGAAAGGCACATGAAGTGTCAGGCATAAGTTCCTAACCTGAAACCATAAACAGAGGGATGGCCATGGTGAAGTTGGCCGGGAAGTCAGGCTTTGTGTGTTCTGTCAATGGAATATGAAACTTGGTTTTCTTTTTTATGAAAGAGAAATTTCAAAGTAGCACTGACTGAGAAGGTTAAGCTGGTTCAGATGTGGAGTGTGGACATCAAGAGCAGTGGTGTACGTGTGAATGAATGCTTGTATCCTGATTTCTGACATAGCGCTGGGGAGTGCATCTGCTTAGGACACCAGCCAACCTGCAGCGCCTTACGCACACCCAGCCTGAGGAGGGGCTGGGGGTGTTCTCACACACCTAAAACTTCTTTTAGGTGTGAAATGGTAACACTTCTTAAATTACTTGAATACACATAGACCTTTCAGAATTCAAAGGAGACACACAGAAAGGTAGGCTGTAGTTCTCTTTCAGTTTCTAAGGAAAACTATTCCCTTAAAAAACAAAACAAAACAGTGTCCTCACAGTATGAGATGCATCCTTCCTTTCCAAACTCATTTTGGAACTAAACCCTCTTCTTTTTCCATAGTGTTACCAGAGATAGGTCAGAGAAACTTTGGATACTCGAGTTATTGATCTTTTTTCTTTTTACTTTTTTACTCTAGCACAATTAAAAAGAGAGGAAAATGATTTTTCTCAGTGATTTTTCTTCCCCAAAGGTGAGCATTTAGTTACTACAGAGATGCCTTGTCACTAAGATACTTACATGGTCTGCATATGTAGGAGGCCAGTATCTGGACACAGAGACCCAGGGGAAAGACAGTTCCCAGTTCCCAGTTGAATGGTTTTAGGCAAAGTTCACCTTTCTTAGAACATAAGTACTGAATTATGGGTTTAAAACCCAGCAGTGGGAAAGTTAGCTGGCATACATACTGAGTTTGATACAGAGGGACTGTGCAATTCAAGACATATGGACTTTCATGTGACGCACAGAAAATATTAAAAGTAATAAAGAAAGGGCCGGCCGAGTGGCGCGATGGTTAAGAGCTCGCTTGGGATGCCAGAGGGCCCCGGTTCGGATCCCACATATGAGGGCCAGTGACACTGCCCTCTACAGCTAAGATGCTGAACAACAGCTCAACCTGGAGCTGGGCTGCCTTGAGTTGCTGGCGACGGCATAGGCTGCAGCCCCTGCTGCAGTGGGTTGCCATGGGCTACTGTATGTAGCCAGCAGCCAGCGTGAGCGGCCAGCAGCCGCAGTGAGCGGCCGTCCAGAAGCCGGCGACTGATCTGCCTCGCCTGGGAAGAGCGCAATGATGGTGCCAACTTGGGCCAGTGAAGCAATGTCCTCACAACTAGATTGAAGAACAAAAGGACAGCAACTTGTCTGTTCCCCTTCCCCCAATTCCCCAGCACTGTTCCCATCCCCCCAATTACCCAATTAAAAAAAAAATCTTAAAAAAAAAAAAAGTAATAAAGAAATGTTAGTACAAAATAAAGAAAAGGGGAAAACGTCGTTCCCTCCTCCTGCTAAGATACCACCAGCCTCTCATCATGGTGATTTCTACTGGACTCCAATGCCAGGCATTTACGTCACAGCCTGAATGAAGTACAAAGTCCCCTTGATCTATAATAGCACAGAGAGAATAAATGAATTGCAGAGATTTTTTGCTTCTGAGCTTCATTCAGATGCAGGGTCCGGTAGGTAGACAGCACTGTCTTGCACACCTACGCCCCAGGCACTGAGCTTTCACGCTCGGCGCCGGCTCTCTCCCCACAGCCCTGGGGATTCCTACTCTGTCCCATGCAGGGAGGGGAGGAGGCAGTCCCAGAGCCCTGCTGATCTGTGAATGAGCTGGGACTAAACTGCAGAATGCCAGGCCACAGCTATTGTCACTCTTTGTGGCTTCCCACATGACTTTTCCATATTTTCACACCTCAGCAGGTCATAGTCCCCTACATATGACCCTCAAAAGCCTCTAATGATTTAACCCCCTGATCAGTAACAAGGGAATACCATCTCAGAATCTCCCAAATGATCACTCGCATTCAACAGGCGGGCTCTTTGGAGGCAGAAAGCAAATGAATAACTTTCTCCAAAAACAACAATTCCCTAGAAAAGTAAATAGTCATTATCATATCTCACGTCTTCACTAATATGCAAAGGTGACTGTCCCCTCAAAAAGGCCATTTCCAAATGTTCCCAGAGCAAATCATCATTCATATCAATTGCTGCTTTGTGCACCCACCTGAGGCGTTTAATTGGTTATTTTCTTTGACACACAAGATCTGAACACTAAATCAGGACATCAAAAAGCAACTCAGGGTCCTTCAGAAAGTGTACTGCAAGTTTTTAAATTTTTTTCATTTCTTATTTCTTAAAGGACCGACTTCTTGAAATCTAAGTGGCGAGCCAGCCCTATTGACACTTACATTCTCTGCCACGTTTCCCATGCACTGACTTCTTGCTTGTGTGAAGCACTACGGCTGCACGGAACCTTACAAGTGTCTCCCCTGGCAGGGAAAGAGGCGAGTCCTGCCTGGGGCCCTGACAGGCAAACAGAGAAGGGAATATACCTATATTCTACAAAGTGGGATTCATAACAGCCTTCCCCACAAGATACGAAGACAAAAAAACCAGCAGGGAGAAGGTGCCAAGTGGAGCTTGGTTACATAATGCCCCTAGAAGCCTGGTCTAAGATGTATTTAGCATTTACACAAGCCTCCCAGTATTTCAGGAGAAATAGTGAGATGGTAAACAGCGCCAGTGTACCCAGAAAACTCAGAACACAGACTGGGAGAGGCACTCACTTTGCCTTTCGGTGACATATCTGCACATCCCAGACCAACAGATATTTATGATGTCCAGGACAAATTTCTAGTAGAAAATCTAACTCATAACCAGAAATTCCAAAGTCCTCCCTGCCGCAGAAAATGAGCCTGCTTTCTCTTAAGCAGCTTATCATTCATTGTTCCTTCATTCCTTCATGGTTTCTCTCCTGTAGCACCCCCACACCTCTACTGCCCCCAACCCTTCCTGCCTATTCCAATTCTAGTTTCTAAGTTTTCACAGCTCTGGTGTTTAGACTCTGCATTCTGCAATGTAATACCGCTCGCCACTGTTCAAAGTAGCACCTGTCCTCTTTTATTAGGGTATGAAATCCTCGAGGTCAGGAGAATAGTGTGTTATATATTCCACATCCTCCACAGTGCTTTGATTACAGCACATGCTCAGGGTGAACTTTTTTGTGGTCTGGTTTGCACTGTTTTAGCTAAGTGTATTTATTCATTTACCCCTTCATTAAACATTTGTTGAGAACCCACTGGGAGCCGGAGAAGTGAGGCTGAAAGCCCTACCTGCCCTCCACATTTTCTGACCAATTCCCAGTTTCCTCCTGTGGCTACAGGCAGCTTAGTGGCCCTCTGTTATTCATACTTCCACTATCATCAGAGCTTGAAATAGAGAAGAATCTCTTCATGCACTTTGGACATTAGCCACATGGGTCTGCTTAATATTGTAGGCTGCATCCAATGGAGATGTGGTGAAGGAGAGTAGAAAAAATGAAACAAGGAAATCATAAAGCTTGTGCATAAAGATTTGACCTACAAGGATGTTCATTCCAGTGTTATTTAAATCAGAACAAAATGTTATACATGTTCTAACTAGATGAGTCACATTATAGAAGAAAATCCACAGATGTGAGAAAATGTATAACTAGTGTTAAAAATGCAGCTTCCAGAACAGCTGATATTTACAATTGGTTGCTATTTTATTTTTTAAAAAATCTACTTGGGAGAAAACTCTAGAAGGATAAACTTTAAAGTGTTAATGGTGAATATAGCCAAGTTGTGGGATTAGAAATGATCTTCTTTGAGTGCATAAGCATTTTCCAAATTTTTTGAAATGATCCTGGATAATTTTTGGGTCAGGAACCAAAAAAGTGATTAAAATTGTTATAAGGACATAGGAGACCAGGACAAGCAGCCTCCCAGAATAGAGAGACTTCTGACAAAATTCACACTTTTACCTCACTGCTTGGGGCCTTGCTCCCTGATAAAGCCTGCGGGTAAAGGCTGTACCTCTCCTGGCTTTATAAAGGGAAATTTCTGTGCACATGCATTTTGATCTATTTCCCAACTTCTGCCTCTTCAAGTAGATGAATGAACAGGTGTCACATTCCCCCCTCCACAAAGCGATTGCTTTGTCAAGCAAGTCACAAACTGCCACGGATCCTAGTTGTTACGTAAGTTAAACCAAATTCCAAAGCAGCAAACAAACAAATCCAGAAGTCAAGCCCTTTCCCAATTGACTACAAGAAAAACTTCTAGGTACTGTTTCAGTGGTGCGGAGAAGAGAAGAAACTTGTTTGGGTGGATGGAAGGTGGACTGAAAAGGTAAAGAACAAAGAAGTGGAGACGCTACCCCACGTCTCCCAGTGAGGGTACCACGGGAGGCAAGCACTGTGCTTAGACAGGCGGATTGACTGGGGGAGGAGGATGAAGGTTGTCTGCGCAGAAGCCATACCTTGGTCTGGAATGTACAGAACATGTGCGTTAAGAACGGATGCTCCCAGGCCAACGAGAGAACTCTCTTCTCTACCATCGTGCACTCAACATCGTCGTCCATCAAAACCACGTCTTTCTTTAGGGCTTTTATTGCAAAAAACTGATTGGTTTTCTTGAACTCAGCTAGGAAGACCTAGAATAAAGGGGAAGAAGTTACTTTATTTTAGAATTTGGATTCACACTCATTAAAGAAGAGACTAAGTCCGGAGAGAGATGTGTTGGGTGAGAAGGGAGGAACCCTTCTCCAACCCCCTCCATTCCCTGTACGCAAACAAAATAGGGTGTTTCACTGGGGTAGGGTGTCACTTGACACTTTCATACTCTCCTTGCACCTTTCAAAGGGTTTTACAAAACTAATGCTCAATTGGATGGGTTATTCTCAGTCCCTGAAAAATTCTGCCCAGGGACCTGAGGAAGTTCATAATAAAAATCCACAGAAACAGATGTGTACTGAGGGAGGCAGCAGCTCGCAGTGGAGAGGACGACCTGATTGGACTTGAAACAGCAACGGCAAATGAGCATCAAACCCCACTCCAAGTTGTACCCGGTCTTTCAAGGACAAAAAGAGTCCGTGAGGACTAGAGCTCTCCTTCCGCGCTTAAAGACCGCATGCCATTTTATCTGATGGCAAAGACACGTAATCTCATGGGTCAGACATTCTGCTTTGTACTGTACATGTGCTATCTCATTTTATTGTCTCTTTAACTCGTAGCTCAGAACACGCTGCAAGACAGATAGAAAAAATGAAAAAACTAGGTTCAAAGAGTAGCTTAACTTTCTCAAACTCATGGAGTTACTGGGTGGAAAATCAAACTCGAGAGTTTACTTTTTCTACTTGATGTCATGAATCTCACATGAAAGGACGCCAGATGGCACTTGAAGGAGAGTTTCTACAACTTTGGCCTTTGCAAACGATGCAGCAACAGATGACTGACAGGGCACTGGCATTTGGAGGCAGAAAACTCCAGCTCGGCCTCATTTCACAGACATTTACGAGCTGTGGGCATGTGGGCAAAGCAGTTAACCTCTCTGGGCTTCAGTTTCCTAACATGTAACAGTGAGGACTATCAGCACATTCTCTAACTCACAGGACACTGTGAAATCACAGGGGACACCACATGGGACGGTGGTTTGCGAACTGTAAAATGCTCTCTAAATGACACTTATCAGGAACACTTGCCATTTGTTTCTTTTTATTGACTTTCAGGGAATATTGAAGTCAATAATGCTAAGCCAGTAGTGAAATGCATGTGTCTATGTTTAAAAAGATATACAGAGGGTGCAAAAAAAATGTATACACATTTTAAGAAAGAAAAAAACTGTATTAAAATTGTCATACTCAATAGATACTGATAACAAAAGATGAATACAAGTCACGTTTGACTTCTGCAATTACAAGAGGTGCTCAAAGTGCTTACCATCAGCATAATTTTAATACAGTTTTTTCCTTTCTTAAAATGTGTATACTACATTTTTTTTTGGCACCCTCTGTAGTGCAGATACACAGCTTTCAGGTAGCAGGCTTGATAGAGGGGGTAGAGCTCAGACGGGAATTCAGACAAATGAATAATGTGTAGTATCGGAAACACGCAGTTTGTTCTCCTGGGCCTCAAAGTAGATAGAGAAAAGAATACAGAGCCTACCATTTGGGTGGGGAGCCATACTTCCTATAGAGAGAGAAAAGAAAGAAGAAAAACAGATGCTGGAGGATTGTCAGTGTTGTGTGTGAGGAAAGGAAATATGGCTGCCTCGTGGTGCTCTGGTACTCTGTCTTCCTCTCCTTGGGCCATGTGGTGCAGTCCTGTCAAAGAGCAGGGACTCAGAGCACTAATGGCGGGACGTAGAGCAGAGGAGACCTGATGCTCTCACTGGTTCCTTGAGATACTCACTAAGTAAGGCTTGTAGGTTTAACTTAGTGTCTTTCTTATTAGCCACGTTCGAGTGTAGAAATCCATACCGGAACAGAGAAAGATAAACATTTCATTAGCAATTAAAAATACTGTTTTGGTAATTGCTTCTTTCAATAAAACATCCCAAAACCAGCCATAGAGTAAGAAGCTGAAAAGGTAATTTCCATCTCTGTAATGTGCTTTCAATTTTTTGGTAACCGGTTATCATTGCACAGTCATTGACGCTAAATTATAATGAGGACTGGCTGCAAAATTGCCTGTTACACTCAGATCAACCCCATATGGGCCTCCTATGGCTCATATTATTGTGGAAATGAACTAAAGGAATTAGCGGGTATCAGCTACAGTGTGCAGGGAACAGGTTTTGCCACAGGCGATGCACTGGTATTTAAATCCAAACCCCAGTGTCCTTCAGCTGTGACAGCAATCAGTTGCATTTTAGTTTGTTTATTATTAAATAAACTGCGTATGTTCTGCAGCCAAAGTCTGGCGAGCAGGTGATGAGCACAATGCTGGCTTTGGACACACAAATTCATGGGACAGTAGTTGCTGGCTACAACTTTCAAAGGCATTGCATCCGTGAATGTAATACATTAGATATCCTTCAGAGCTAAAATAACCTGCTATCCTATATTCTGTGGCATCCCTCTTGTCAATCACTGGCTTATAAATATTCTCCCGTCACTGATAATTGATTATAATTTGTCTTCTTCCTCCTCCTCTCCTTGTCCTCTGTGACTGGCAGAGACAGCCCATAACTCGAGTGTGTGGCAGGAAGAATTTAGAGGAGGGACTTTCTCCAGGAAGCTTTTCTGAGGACTCTCAAGCTACAATGTGCATTGTGTCCCTTCCAAAAAGTTCACAGGTTGAAGTCCTAACCCCCAGGACCTTAGAATGAGACAGGGTCATTACAGTGAGGATTAAGTTAAAGTGAGGTCATTGAGGTAGGCCCTGACTGGTGTCCTTATAAGAAGAGGGGATCAAGACACAGACACACAGAGGGACAACCACTAGAGGACACAGGGGGAAGTTAGCATCTATAAACCAAAGAGAGAGGCCGCAGAAGAACCAACCCTGCTGACACCTTGATCTGGGACTTCTAGCCTCCAGGACTGTGAGACAAATTTCGGTGTGGAGGCTGCCCAGTCTGTGGTATTTTATTACAGTCATCCTAGCAAACAAATATAAGGCTGAGGATAATTGATAGAGAAAAAGAATCACGTAAGAAGTAAAACAACACTCTAAGTTTCAGAAGGGAGCAAAACAACAACCCAAACACCACCAACCAAGCAAAAAACCTGTGTGAAATAGCGACTGGCTGAAGCACCTTCCCATATCTCAGGTGTCCAACGATACCAAACTGATAAGCTCGTGGAATGGACACCTTCGAAGCAAAATGGCTTGGGAACAACCATTCCCAGGAGGCTGAGGCTGCTGGGGTCCCCGGGTCCCTGTTTATTCCCACATCTCTACCCTCTCACAAAACGTGCAGGAACGTACTCCCTGCTCATCCGCCCACAGCTCTGGTCCCTGGAGTTTAGTCCTCCTGGCCAGGAGCTCGGCTCCTCAATTTTTGGAAGCTGGTTCGTAGAATTCTACAGTACGGTATCATACCTTGCCAAAACTGCCTTTCCCCAACATTTTGTGCAAGATAAAGTCCTCGATGTTTAATTTCATCTGTAGAGATGGCCTTTCTGTGTTCAGCTCAGGTTCTGGACGATGGCAGGTTTTCTCCACCCCATCCAAGGGAGACTCCCAGGAGATCCCTTGAGGCTCTAAAAAGGGCAACCAGTGGTTAAAAGGAAACAGGGTACAATCGAGGGTCATTGTAGCTGCTTGGAGAACACACTTTCTTTCCCATTCTAGGCTCCGGGGCAATAACGCGGAAAGAAGCTCCTGCTGTGTATGGTGGGGGCCCCTCCTGCCTGTGGGCCTGGCGTATGGGAGTTGGACTGGGCCTCTGAATCTGCCCAACAGACTGGGGAGCATTTCAAGCTGGGAAACATTCCAGTCAGCAGACTGTATGCACAACATGAATGAGCACCTCTCGTAATGTCAAATCGTGGACAAATAGAGATTTCAGCCAAATGTGAGGAGAATGCTTCTCAGTGGCTCGCGTGGCTCACAGGCACCATGGCCTCAATGTCTCTGACTTACCAGGGGAGGGGAGAGGAGACGGATGGCAGATTGTTTAAGAGCCGAATCGCATCATTCGCCAGTCTTCAGATCAACCTGCTGCCTACTTCCATCATCTCTGAGACACATTCTACTTCTCTGCCTGGACACCATTCTCAAATCTAATCCCAACCTTTCTTTTAGAAATTTTAAGTCTATTTATTCCTCACCCCGTGCCAGAAGAGGTGTAGGGAAAGTGTTTTGGACTCTTCCTCTCCCGTGTATACTTTTTCTTTTTTAATTAAAATGTATTTGACACATCACCTTGTGTTAATTTAAGGTGTCCAATATGTTGATTTGATAGATTTATGTATTGGGATATGATTGCCACTATTACATCGCATAATTAATTATCTTTTTTTTTTTGTGGTTGGAAGAGTGACATTTATTTTTCAGTCTCTAGGTTTACCCTTCATAGTCCCCCTAAATCCAGGGAAAATAAGTACTTTAGAATGTATTCTGAAACTATTCAGTTTCCAGAATCAGGTGGTCATATCTTGTCATGAGTGACCTTCAAACAGTAGGCTGGATGAACTTCCGTCATGTCATAAATGTTAAGGACTTTGGGCCCTGTCGGTCTTCCCCTCTCTACTCTCAAACTTCCCAGAACAGTCTCAAGGGTGCAGAATACAATGGTCTTCCCATCACTGAGCTTTATGGTGGGGTTATTTCTGTATAATGGTTTAACAGTGACAAGAAGTAACATTTTCACATTCTAAGGAAGAATTTACAGTGGTTTCCACTGGACCCATCCCCTTTTCTCCCCCACCCCCAAACCTCCCACCCTCTTCAAAGGGTTTCCTAGTAGGGAGCATTTTGGTTTCACTTCTAAGAAGTAGGAGCCTCTTAGTTGGTGGCAGGGTCTATAACCTCTAAATAGCAAATAATAATCTCTCAGACCAGGTAAATGAGAACATAAATACAGAGGACTAGGGGTAATCAAGATTAATTACTGCCATTGGTTTCTACGGGGATCAGGATAGCTACCTCGTTTCCCCGGTGCCGATACATAGGGCAGACTTGCTTCACCTTTTATGGAGCATGGGGGACCAATTTCAACGGGACCTTCTCTGAAGATGTGTTCAGAATCTCTTAAGCAGCGAGCCTAGATTACAAAGAAAGAGTCAGACCACCCACCACTGATGCAACAGCTCAGCCTGCTGTCCATGGGGACGAAAGCCATATAAGGTTTCCAAAGGCATAGGACAACCAAAAGTCTTTCTTTCCTCGGCACTCTTTGGATCCCATATCCTGTGAGAGTCTGTCTATTGTATGTTATGCCCAAGCAGAGTGTATTCACTTCCTTCTTACTTTTCCTGGGGGCTAACTGGTTTCTCCCATGCTGTCCATTTCTGTCACCACTAAGAATGGAAGGTCAATAGATGGACAAATAGCATTGCTGGGTCCTAAAGACGGTTTGTTCGTGGATATGAGAATTTAGCATGCTAGTAAACAGCAAGGCAGAAGGTGGCCTGGACTCAGTGTTCTGAGGGCATTCTAGGGCTGATTCTAGCAAATAAGTGTTTCCCCCAGGCTATTATATAGCCCTAGTGTACAGGTACAAAGTTGGCAATGAATCCTCAATAACTTCAATGAATTTATTTGTGTTTGTTCTTGCTCATCCCACAAAGAATTTAAGATCTTATAGAGATCTGTACAATGCAGATGCATTGAATAAATTTCTCAGAGGGGGGATATGGGTGTGAAGGTGAGAGGGGAAAGACAAGTGCTCAGAAATAGACGCCATGTTGTCCCATTCAGTTGTTACAGGTCAAAGAGCAAAGGGACTGGGGTAGTCCTTGTTGAGTTAAAATTGTGGGACCTTGTCACCTCAAAGCCTTTCCTACCTGTTGGGTGCTTTCAATCATTGCCAGTGCTTCAGCCATTAGCTTCTGGTTTATGCCACAAAGGTTGGCCACCTTCGTCTGGCATCGGTGATGTACGTTCATGCCACATGCTGAAAGGAAGACAGTGACGTCATGAGCAAAAGCACCAGAACCAACTGCCATGGACTTGGCGTGTGATCTATTTCCAGTACACGCATGTTGAAGGAACAACTGGCAAATCCCCGTGCCATCTTCCCAGCAGAGGGAGATATGGAATACAAATCAATTAGTCAGAGCAGTACTTTTATGAGGACACTGGTCATCTACCTCCCCTTCCCGAAACCTACACACATAGACCAGATGGTCCTGGCATGATGCTGGGACGTGATCCCCACTAGAGATAGAACCAGGGCGGGCAGTCGGCTGTCAGGATGCATTTAGACTGTGCCTTTGCTGAGAGAAAAAGACTGTGTTGGCTCTCACTGGTGGTAATGTGCAATGCTGGACTTGAAGCTTGTTCATGCCCACCCTAGACCGGGGCCAAGCATCCCCTTGTCCACGTGGGGCGGGCTGCAAGGAGGGTCTCTCCCCTTCAGGCTGCACCCCAGGTATAGCCTCAGTATGAAACTGAGATGGTGGGGAGCTCAGGGCTGGGGTAGGAGGAGGGAACGTGGCCAGAGAGCACCTTCTCACGGTATTGAGAGAGAACGGCCAGCTGAACTAAGTAGTCGGTGTAGGCTTTTAGCTCTGACACCCATGACCCTGCGGGAGTGTCTGATTCCTTAGTCCTGAGAACAGCATGATCAAGGTCTGCCCTCCACTCACTGTGACCGTGTGAGTCCCCTTGGATCGGGGTGGGGGAGTGTGCACATCTGTGTAAAGGCGACTATTACATCATGTCGTGAGTTTTAGAAAAGTCACTGTCTGCTTATGAAACATCGCTGTTACAGTGGGGGGAAAAAAAAGCTAACAAAGATTTCCAAACTCCAGCTTAGTGGATCTCAAGTCCTACTTAATTGTATAAAGGTACATCAACAGGGATTGCTATAATGGAATTAGGCAGGAGAAGCTATACAGTCACGCAGTTTTAAGCTTATTTGCTTATTAGCCCCTTTGCGTCCAGAAAACTTAGGACAGTGATTGGCATCAGACAGTTGCTAACCAAATACAACTTCTCTTTCATCCTCATTATTTATTACAGCGGGCTATATATTGAAATATTGAGGTGAAATTTTAGCAGCCTTCCCCTTTAGTTTTAACTAGCTCACTTTTCCTCAGATAGTTCATAACAACACACTAGAACAGCATTTTGTATGTAAATAAATATGAAGCTATAACTTGTCCCAGTCTATGTGCATCGATGTCGTCATGAAAAGCCATTCCAAGTGCGATCTTGAAAACAGTCAAGATGCTGTTTGTAAAGGCTCGCTGCCCTTCTGAAGCCTGGGGCGTTAGCAGGATTCATTGCGGCAAGGCGCAGGGCGGCAGGCTGGAGAGTTTTACTCGGCTTCTCGGCTTCTTAAAATTGTAGCCAGATCTAAGCTTGTCTTTGACGCGAGGTGGTGAAGAAAGGCCCCATCCCTACTATGACAATGTCATACATCTTTGTTACTAACCTATTAGGTGATAAATGGATCTCTGTGAGTGTAAATAGTCCCTTTTGATGACTATTTTCATGGGGATTACAGCAGAGAGAGAAAAGCAGACAGGTCAGGGTGAAGGGAAGCCCTACTTAGGAAGGTAGCTTATAAGAGAGCAAGATAGAGAGTTGCAGCAAAGGATGAGGGGAAAAGAAAGCGGGGCAGAGAGTGGGAGGTGACAAAGGTGAGGGCATGAGGTGAGGAAACAGCGACTTTGGGGGTGTTAGCAGTGAGAGTAGAGAATGACACAGGGGGGAAGGGAAGGGGAGGGAAGGGGAGAGAAGGGGGGGTGAGAGAAAAGAGGGAGGGGCTACTTGGAGTGCAGGAGGTGGGAGAGTGGGGAAGAGAATGGAATGGAGAAGAAAGAACCTTAGCAAAGGACAGAACACAGCAGGTCCGTGAGCCGTGAAACAATGCCAAGAACCCTCGTGGAAGTTCTAAGCTCAGAGCGTCATCACGCTGTTGGGACAGGCTTGGCCTCCGCTGGTGGGGTGCCTGGGGCTCCAGGGAGAGGAAGCCTGAACTGTGAGACCCCGCATAGGGACAGGAGGCTGTCAGAGGGGCTTTGATGATTCATGTCCTGTTTGTACAGTTAGGGTATCTGAAATGACTTCTCGCCTATGAACTCGTAAAGGTATTCTGTCCAGTCCCAGGCCCTCTTGAACAGGTGTGGAGAGGAAAGCATGTAGCAGGGCTTGTGGGTCATGGAGGGATCGTTAGGGTAAGTTTTGACTACACGTGGGTTTTGCCTTCCATCGTGATTTGAAAACCTGTGCCCTCCTGCCTCCATTAAGATGTCCCTCCTGCTAGCTCCCCAGACACAGAACGCAGTTGGGATGAGGAAGGGGGCCGCTCCTGAAGGTGATCTTTCACCTTAAGTCAGTCACCCTCTTGTCACTTAAAAGGTAAGACGCATTAGCCAGTGACATAAAATAAAAGGGGACTGCCAAGAAAAGTGGCTTTTATACTTGATAATTCAAAATAGAAAGGTGTCTCTGCGGCAGGTCACCCTCCTTTGTGCACATGCTGTCCAGACCCTGTCCCCACCCTCGCCCCCACTCAAAAGGCAGAAGCGCTTTGTCATTCTTATTGAAATGTCTGCCTCCCTACCCCCTAACCCTGGCTTAAGCAGCATCTCTGTTTCTAAAGGTTATTGCCTTAGCATTTTAGAGCAAGAAAGCCCTTTTGGCTTTTTCTCAGTCCGTCTGAATCGCTTGACCAGTGACGGCTGCAGAGGCCGAGGCCCTGCTATAATAGCAGCCTCTGAGGAAAGGTCCGAGTCAGAGCCGGGCTCCGCCCCTTCGTGGGCATTGCCAGCTGGCAGCATGCTTTGGGGATAGACTGTCCAGCTTAAGTCACAGAATTCTTCTGTGCAGGACCTTCCATCAGCCAGGGGGACGGGTGGGCTTGCTCCTTGATGGGACTACAGAAAGAGTGTCACTGGCTGGTGCAGAGGACAGCGGCAGGGGCAGGGCCCAGCAAAGCTGCCAGACTCAGGGGCCAGGCCCAGGGAAGACAGCAGGTCAGGTAAAGAGAAGGGACCAGTCCGGAGAAATGCTGCCCCATTTCTCCCCAGGACTACCGTTGCAACAGAAGGCAACGGCCCAGGCGTCTTGATCATTTAACTGGACCAATTTTGCACTTACCTGGGTTCAAGGATTAGGGTGTTGAGGGGAGTGGTGGTGGGTGAGGTGGTTACCCTTCTAAACCATCTCTATCCTCCCTCCCTCCTAGTCATGCTCTCCTTAAAACTGCAAATCCACCACTGTGTGTGTGTTTGTGTGTGTGTGTGTGTGTGGCAGGGGGGTTGTTCTATTGGGACCACACTCATCTCCCACTAGACTCACCATCACATTTCAGTCCTTGCCTGGCCAGGCCCCACAGCAGCGTCCCACAGTGCTCACAGAAGGTTGGGCTTTTGTAATTGTAGACTTTAAATCTGTGCGGCATGTCAATTTTGAACCTCTCCTTGTGGAACTGAAATGAGAGAAGAACAACGGGTGTGATGCTGCGTGTCCCTGGGCTCCCAGCTTTTGATGTCTTAGCAGATACTTTTGCATAACTCGCAGAATAATAAAACTATCGGACCAATGTGTATGTTAAACCACAATTTTTACCCGCCAAGCTTTATAGTCGTGTCCAAAGAACTCAGGCAGCCATTAGCTCTTCGGGGTGAGGGGCAAGCGCGTGGTATACGGTAACCAAGTAACCTGCAGACAGCTAAAGGCAGGCATCCCCACAGTCGGACTAACCTTTCAGGAAGCGGGGACTAGGGTTATTTATTGAAATGGGAGCTAAGTAAACATTGCACTTCCCTTCCTATTTTAATATAAATATTTCCTTTTCATATAAATATTTCACCCAGAACTAGTGCTTTCACCTCTGGAAGATGTTATTAAATGCCTCCTCCAGAGGAAACATTACCATGGGTTTATTAGTATGACAGCCTAACGTGTGAAGCATTTCACACCTATTGTACACGCGCTGAGGAGACCAGGTAGACAATGGGTCTGCTGGGTGCTGTGGACACATATGTCACATGTCTAATCTTTTACACATGTGATATCTCATACAATCCTCAAAATACCCTATTTGAAGTAGCCTCTATGAGTATCTTCCTTTGATAGATGAGGAGATTAAGCACAGAGAGTGCAAGATACTTGTCTGGGTCACACAGCCATCAAGCAAGCTGGGATATCTATGAGCCTGGCCGTCAGAATCAGAACCTGTTCGCTTTCACTGTTACTCTTCTCTCTCTCAAAATAAAATTATGATTTAGGGGATGGGGAGAGGGGAGATGCGAGAAGGATGCTGGTGGTAGATATGTTACAGATCTTTGAAAACAGTTTTCTAGAGTTTAAATCTTCTCCTTTAATCAAACTTATCACATGACCACCACCACCAACAACAACAACAAATCAGGCATTTTGAATCCTGGCAAGAATCTCAATATTCTTGTGCAGTATAAAAAGTTCTGTTTACTTAAGACTTATAATCTCTGCATGTTTTTAATGAAACAATTCATTTGGGAAGGCTTATTCATTAAAGCCATGCAGCCAATATTCCTTCCCTCTGTCGCTGCTGGTCAGCATTCGGTTTTTGGAATGGCTGTTTAGAATTGTTTCAAAGCTGCCCAGCACTTACTCTAGCCATTTTCAACCAAGAAAAAAGGACTTTCAAAACTCATGTCATATAAGCATTTCTGTGTGAATATAAACAATCAATGTCAAGGTCCAGACTAGAAGGGTTCCACTTTAAATCTTGAACCCAAGTCCAAATGGTTCAAAATACATCTGGGAAAGGCTGTAGATCTGCATTTTCCACTATGAGAGTCACTTACTCACATGGGCCAGTAAACAAGTGCAAGGTGGTGACAAGATGTGCTGGAAGCATAAAAACACACACTGGATTTTGAAGACTTTGTATGAAAAACATGATGTAAATATCTCATTAATTTTTATACTGATCACACATTGAAATGATAGTATTTGGGCAGATGGGGTTAAATAAAATATAATGTTAAGATATTTCACCTGTGGCTTTTTCCTACCATGTGGCTACTTGAAAATTTAAAATTATACTTGAGGCGCCTTCTATTTGTGTTGGACTTCAGCCACTGAATAGTCATGCTTACACTCTGTGATTCTGAGGCATCAAGTAAAGGGAGCAGGAGGGTGGGTTGGGAGGTGGCAATTTGATTTAAATAAACAAAAATATTGGTCTGGGAGATTGCGATCTGAACTTCAGTCCTGACTCTGCCACTTATAGGTGTTTGACCATAGATAAACTACTTTAACCTCTCTGAGTCTTAGCAGAGTCACTTATAATATGAAATTATCCCTTCTGGCTCTAAATTTTAAAGGAAATTTTACTTTGGAGAAACTCACCCGATTTGCCTTTCCTGTACCTGCCCCTTTGCTGGAGAAACTCACACACCTGGGCAGGTTGACACCCTCAAAGTCAAAAGGACTTTCAACTGTGCCTGGCAGTCCTATGGCTTTTCTCTGAACCCTTGCTTTCCCATCTCTAAGATAATTCTTTCACAGATTCTCTCTCCTTAGAGCCAGTTGTTGCCTTCCCTTCTTCCTTTTCTCCACCCTCAGACTTCATTGAGGACATCAGTAAGATAAGCTCCCTCACCTGTCTACCCCCCAAATCAACAACCATTTTCTCCTTCTCTCTTCCTGTTACAATTGATGAACTATCCATCTGTCCATCAGAGACCCATCTCCACATGGGCTTTGGACCTCTTCCTTTCTTGCCAAGGCTGACTGCTTTGGTTGCCCCTCTCTCCAACTTCATTCATCTGCCCTTGCTGTCTAGCTGTGGGAGTATTTCTATATACTATATATACTATATAACCCATGTGTCTCACCTCCTTCCAGCTACTGTGCTACTTCAGTGATCTCCTTCATGGTTAATCTTCGTGATAATGTTAATACTTAGGTGGTTTCCATGACATCATCTTCCAGTAACCTTCAGTGCTGGCCAATGTGCGGAACACCTCTATAAATCCTTTGAAACTTCTCTGATCAGGGCTCCAAAGATCTCCACGTGGCCCTCATTTTTCTCAACATCTCAGCTGCACTGAACACAATTGATCCTTTCAGCCACTCTTAGTATTGAAGAGCCCTCTCTGAACCCTTGTTCTCAGTCTCTATCACAAGCTCCTTCTCTTCTACCTAACATCTAATTTTCAATTCCTTTGGGGGTCAGTATTGACTCTATACTCCCTTTTCTCAATACTCCCTCACTACGTAAACTCTTGTCAGCTTCAATTTCTCCCTACTTGATAGCCACTCCCAAATTTATAGATTTGACCCATTGGCTCATATGAATTCCAAGCACATATAAAATTGTCTATTTGATACCTATACTTGGATGTCCATAGGCATCGCAGACTGACCTTGTCCAAAATGGAAATAATGAATTTCTCTCCCCAGATCTCTCCTTCCAGTCTTATTCATGTTCTCAGGGTTCTGCTTTCTACCCCACTGCTCAAGACAGAAACTCGGCCATCATCCTTATTTCCCTCTCTTTCATTCTCCACATCTTGTCTACTGGCAAATACGGTCATTCTGAATATAGAAATCACCTGAAAATCTGCTCACTTCGCTTGATCTCCACTGTCACCACCCTTCTGCCCTGGTGGGACTCCATAACCTCTGGTTTGTACGTTCACAATGCAACCCACCATTTCCTTGACAGCAGTCACAGAGTGGACTGCCCATTGCCACTCAAATAAAATCCAGCCATTTCCAGGGTCCAGGGTCCAAAAGAGCCTGGCCCCATCTAGGTCCTGCCAAGTGCCTCAACTTCCTGTCCCATTCTTGCCCTGGTTGTTCTAGCCACATGGTCTCACTTCAGTTCCTAGAACATGCTGATTCTTTCCATCCTCAGAGCCTTTCAGCCTTTCTGGGGGGCTCCTTTGTCCTGCCGTTCACACAGCTGGCTCCCTTCAACTTCAGCCCTCAGTTTAAATGCTCCCTTCCCTGGGAGAGTCCCTGACCTCCAGTCTAAGTGGGCCACTCAGTTATTCTCCCTCGTAGCACCTAATATAAGTGGAAATTATGTACAGTCGTTTGTTAATATCTGTTTCCCCAACGTTATGGTACAGTCCATAATGGCAGGACCATGTCTGTTTTGTGCTCTACTGTACAGTGTACATAGAGTATCTTCTGTGGTTTAGATACACAATAAATATTTATTAAGTGAAGAGGGAAAGAGTGGGAAAAGGAAGGCTGCCTGACTTTCTAGCTCAGCCCCCCCTTCTCCAACGGGGTAAAATCTAACTTGTCCTTAAACTGTATGCTTCAGAGTTCATTCTGCAAGAAAGATTTGCCTCTTAATATAAGAATTATACATCTGTTATCATCTCTGACTAACCTTGTAAATGCTGATATCTGTATTATCATTTGTTTCTACTCTTTTTTTAAAAAAGATTTTATTGGAAAATTGGGGGAGGGAACAGCACTGGGGAATTGGGGGAAGGGGAACAGACCAGTTGCTGTCCTTTTGTTCTTCAGTCTAGTTGTGGAGGACGTCGCTTCACTGGCCCATGTTGGTATTGTGATCATTGCGCTCTTCCCGGCTGAGGCAGATCGGTCGCCAGCCATTGGACGGCCACTCACAGTGGCTCACAGCCGCTCACGCTGGCTGCTGACCACTCTCGGTAGCTTACAGCAGCCCACTGCAGCCCCACTGCAGCCTCCGCCGTCGCCAGCGACTCACTGCAGCCCAGCTCCAGGTCGAGCTGTTGTTCACCATCTTAGCTGTAGAGGGCGCAGCGTCACTGGCCCTCATGTGGGATCTGAACTGAGGCCCTGCTGCTCAAAGCTCGTGCTCCCAAGCCAACTTTTAACCAATGAGCCACTTTGCCGGCTCTATTTCTACTCTTTAACTGTCACTTCTAGCTGTAGATGTCACAGAAGTTGTTGTCATATAATTGATCCAAACTATGTTTTCTGGCCACTTTCTATTATGTTTTTCTGAAAAAGGCAAAGGCACTAAAATTCTTATTGTGCTTTTCTTATTCATGCTCTAGTTTTTGATCTCAGTAACAATTACTAAAGAGGAGAGGAGTTTTAGGGAGATTGTTGACAAGTCTAAGGATTCAAGTTCAGGCATTATTAAAAAAGAATTAATAGGTTGTACAATTTAATGTCAGGGAAAATCATATTTCAGATGAAGAGCGGACTCTAAATACGCACCATGGTTTCTCGGCTGTTGATAGCTGATCCTGTGCACTTGGCTATGACTTTATCGATACACTTCTTGTGAATTGCTGCATTACATTCTGAAAGGAAATGATTACAGCTAAAGATTTGCAGAAGTTGAGGAACAACTAAATAAAAGGATGAAAAGACAACAGAAATCCTTACTTACGTCGGCACTGATAGCCCTGTTTGTTCAGACCCCTGCAATAAAGCACATGTTTGATTTATGTGGCTATTTGAACCAGTAGCAGCATCACACACACCTAAAAGGTAATGAGATCTCATAGCTTCCTGCTATCACAGAGCATTTTATGATCAGCTAGTCCTGGTCTATCATTTGCCAAGAGTGTTAACATGGGTTTTTTTTGAAATTGCTTTGTTAAAAGTCTGATGATAAAATAAATGGGGAGCTATTGGTTTCCCTCTCATCTGTGTATTTTCCAAACAAACATGTAGAGGTTAAAATGCCTAATTGAAAGTGCATCACGGGCCCTTAGTAGCAAATTTCCATGTCTTACACTTAAGAATTTATTGTCTCACTAAGCTCAATAAAGATCAGCAAAGACACTTATAACATTTTATAAGATGTTGTAAGATTTTATTTCCTGTTTCTGAGTATCTGAGACTATTTGCAACTAACAAATCCTGAAGCTGAAGTCTAATTCCTAACTCACTATTAGAAAGAAAGGAGGTTCAGGTCATTAGATGAAAACAGGTTGATAGAAATGCACTCAAAGTATATTTGACCTTGGATACCCTGGTTAGGCTGGGGTCGTGCATTAATGAATTCTGCAGTAGCCCAAAGGGAAGAATACTCCATTAGGAGGCAAGGAAGCTGAGACCAGAGAGAGGAGTCGTCTCAAGTGTCCACTCTACCACAGCCTTTGCTGGGTGCTTACTGAGGCTTGAACCCATCTCTGTTTGAGGGCTGTTGAAACACCTAAGAGTGCTGTAAGCATCTAAACCCATGAGATCCTATGGGAAAGTGTTGCCTGTTGCGGACGTTAGTGCTGGCACAATAGGGCTGTCGAGATGGTGGAAGTGTCAACTGTGAAACTGTGCTTTCAATAAGGATGTCTCCCTCCTCTGTGCTTCCCCCCTCATCCCCGCAACCTCCTTTAATCAGAAACTAAAGGCCTTGGAACGCTTTCCTGATGGAGCTGGCTTCCTTGCTGTATAGCAGCCATGTTATGAAAATCTTTTCTAGAATCACACACTTGAAGCCTTCTCCATCCAGGCGAGGCTACAGAAAGCTCTCCTATAGTATTCCAGCATGCTCCCCTCAGGTGGGGCCTGGTGGGTTAAGAGGATGTGACAAAATGCATACCCTAAAGCTTGGAGTGAAATGCCAGGTTACCGTACCAGACAAACTCATGGCAGACAGAGCAAAACGTGGGCTGTGGGAAAAAGGTGGCGGTGAACTCGTGGCACTTGACATGATGGACTTTGGCCTGTTTGATGGCTCCCCGGCGGTGGTGCAGAGCAAAGAAGCCTTCAGTTTCAAATTCACTCATGTCCTTTGTGTCTGCAGAAGAGGATAGGGGACAAAGTGACATTCTGTGAAATGGCTGTCACAGCTGGGGAGATGGGGAAGGGACAGATATGGAGAAGGAATTAGTTGAAATCGGTAAAACCCCAAGTACTTATCTATTTTTTTCCAAGTACTTATTAAGGTGGGTGTAATGCTAAGCCTTTTTTCCTTAATTCTTTAAAACAGAATCATCATAGGTGTGTTATTACAGGATTGAAACAGTGATTTCGCATTATTGGCTGTATCCTTCACTCTTTGACTGTGCTGAGTTAGCCTCTTTCAATTTAGAACCAGAGGCCAGAACTTTCAAGGTATTTACCAGCCTCTCCTATTCACTGTCAGTGATGAGTCAGCCAGAAAAAACAGGAAGTGGCAAATACTTTTCTGCCTGTAATTCTAGAGAACAATGTGGTTATTGACAGCAACCTGGAAACACCATTTTTTTTTTTAGGTCCCTAGATGTTTTATATCTGGATACAGAAAGTACAGCACACTGGAGGAGCTGGCCAGCTTTGTGAGTGAGAGCAAAAGAACTTGGGGAAGTTGTTTATATTCTGGTTCCTGATGTCCAAAGTAATCAGATGCACCAGCTACAGACTACACAGGTCAGCGTGGAAAGGGCCAGAAACTGATAGTTCTCTGTAATTTATGGGTATTGGTGCAGGCACTTTAGGTAGTCACTGTCCACAGTGCACTGTGCCCTGTTGACATCTTCCCAAAAAACTGGTAGAATTATGAGAATACCAGTGATGTTTCCACCGAAGTTCAGGTCCAAAGAAAACACACCATAGCAAGGCAGTTACGGTTAAACAGCATGGTGAGAAATGCACCATGTGAGAGAGAACGAATGGCACCCTAAACAAGAAAGGAATAAAAACCATCGTCATCGCTAAAATAAGCATAATGAAGTTGATGATAATGCTTACAATTTTAAATCGCTAGAAGATTCTTAGATTACTTATTCTATTTCTTTTATCTTTACAAATACAAAAAAAATGAGGTTTGGCAAGAATAAGGGATCATATTTCACAAATATAAAGAGTTAACGATATTTAAATTACTTTTAGTCGGGCTAAGCAGGCCAGAGGTTTAAAAACATACTTGGAGCACATGTTCCTGCCGAGGTACCTTATTTGTCATACCCCTAATGGTGGCCGAGATAGAAACATACGAAGTAGACGGAAGTGGGGCTGTATAGAGGGAGAGCTCTCCCTCAGGAATCCAGCCAACTCCCAGGACATATGTCAGGACCGAAGTCTTCTCTGCGGTGGTCCACAGGTCTGTTTAATGGCAACTCTGGACCCCCAGATAGCAGGCATCCCCAATAACCATGTAAAGAGTTCCACAGATGGGGCATAATACTGCCTCATACTTTAAGGTTAGGTAATCTAGGTCTTTTTATTTGGAACTAGGCTGGAAATACATTAGGGTCGGTGAGTGAGGGGTTAAATTCAGGGTCACTGAGGCAATTGCCTTCTCCCACAAGTTCTGGGATAAGTGTGGAGATCTATTTACAACTTGTGACTGGCATGGTAGGTCATTTGTCAGTAAGATTTGACTCATTTCTATTTTGGTCCAGATGAAAATGGTATGAAATAAATAAAGTATAAAATTACTTTTACATTCAAGGGATGGAAGGGAATTATTGTGGGAACCCAAACTGTATTACTATAAAAAATTAAGTGTATATTCTGTGCGTGAGTCTATAGTACTGTGATTTCTTTTAAAAATGTCAGAAAGTGCTAGAAATGAATTTATTCTCTTGCTGCTTCCTGTGATATCCTTTATCCGCTAACCATTTCAATCGTTACAAGAGAATAAATGTATAAAAACTCAGAATTTCTTGAATTCGTCTGGTATTTACTATGTTTATTTCTGAAGTAATTTCCTTCTCTGTTTGTTTCTTGGCTTAAAGTTCATTGGTTTTTATCTGTTTGGTTACTTCTTTTATAGTAATGGCTCCTAATCTCTTTATTTAGTTTAATCCATCACTTGTTTGTAGTCAGTCTAACCACACATGTTTCCTGGGCAGCTATGAGCAAATTGCTACACCGAGTTTGCTAAAGAAATATGAGATGTTATCTCTAACCTTTGAGTGGCTGACAGTCAGTCAGGGAGACATGGCACTCATGCAAAGAACAGTATATGATGGTGTGAAATAGACTTGGAGCTACGTACACCCGTATTTTTTAGGAGGTAGAAAAAGAATTACAAAAGAGACCACAAAGAGGCAGCTGAAAATTTAAGAGGAAAACTTGAATAATACCACTTCCGCCAAGCCAAGTGGGGGGTCAGCATTGATTGATATAGAGGTGTCAAGGGAATTGTAGGCTAAGAAACAGGAATTGGTTTTGAGGATTCACACTCTTGCAGAAAGCCATTTAGCAGATTGGTAGAAATACCAGCCAGGTTTAAGAATTGACAGAGTAGTGAAGAAACAGGGACTCATAAATATAGACTATTTTTTCAAGAAATGTGTCAGGGAAGGAGAGGAAAGAAAAGCTGATGGAGGTAAAAAGGTTAAAGAAAAAGATCTTTTTCAAGTTTGGAGAAGATGGTTTAATTCAGTATGTCTTGGCAATGAGTTGGAAACCAAAGAGAAGGAACAGCTGGAGATGCTAGAAAGGAAACATGATTGATGGTACAGAGCTGCTAGGGATGAGAGGCAGGAGACCAAGAAAGGGAGGGTGCAGGAAGAAAATGCAGGAAGAAGCAGCTATGTTCTAAGTGCAGACAGAAGATGGAGTCCTTCCCAGTTATACTGTGGGCAGGCCAACCTCTAAGAGTGAGAAGAGTAGGCACCCTCAGAAACCAAGGAGTACCAGAATGTTTGGAATAGCCATTGTATGGGAATCAAAAGAAAATAAAAAGGAATTTCTAAATGCCGGGGTGATTCCAACTAAATACTTCAACGAATGTTCATTAAGTACCTCCTATGTACCTAGTATGCAACCTGGTGCTGAAGTTAAAGAGACAAGTAAGGTTGGTTCAACCATTGCTTTCCTGAAAGGAATTTAGAGTCCAGAAGTAAAGACAATTAATGTAGTAATTGTCCAAATAGAAGTATTCACAGGATGCTATGGGTCCATGGAGGTGAGGAAGCTATGCCAGCAGGTGTAGGTCAGTGGAGGTGAGAAAGAGAGGAAAGTTAGACATGGAAGGTACTAGCTGAGATGATTTCTGAGGTGGGTTCTGAAGGACAAATAGCTCTTACTAAAGTGTAGGAGAAGGCATGGTAGGGAAAAACAAAAAGTGTTCTGTCTAGATGGAAGAGACTAAGCAAGGGTACCTGAGGAGGTTTGTATTGCCAGAGTGAGGTGTATGAAGCAGAAAATATCAGAGGTCACATCTAGAAAATGTGTAGGTATCAGATCAGCTTGAATATTTATTTTCCCATAGATAATTTACAAACACTGAAAGGCTGTAGGCAGGGACAGGGGCAAACGGAGGAACAGAGGCATTGCATGTTCAGAATGAAATTTTTCATAGTTCATTCTGGCAGCTGAGTAGAATAATGGGGATTTGGCAAGAGGTAATGATGATGTAAGCAGGGGATAAAATTGAAAATTACTAAGCAAACAACATGGGTAGACACTATTGGATTAATGTAGGGTGTTGTAGGAAAAGAAGGCTATAAAAATTACTTCCAGGTTTCTGGGTGGATGAAATAGTATTTAACCAAAACAATGAGGACAAAAGGTATAGGTTACTAGTAAAAATGGAGCAAAGGCATGAAGAAAGACAGGGGTGAATGTGTCGTTTGGACATAAGAACATCTTTGGAAAAAGAGGGCGCTCGTGAGAGCAGAGTACTGGCAAGGGCTTATTATGGACTCCAGGGAAGGTCAGAAGTTAATGTTAGAAGTAGGAAAACAAATGGGTGTGAAAGAGAAACTAGATTAGGGTAAAGTCTGGTACCTATTGTGTGAGAGAGGACAGAATTGACAGGGGAGGAGGGTGAGCTCTGAGAGGAGGTCTGACTGAGTCCTTGACAGGGTGGAGAATTTCGATTGATGACCTGCAGGGTGACTGTAGGTTATCGAATAAAGAAAAGTGTAGGGAGGTGTGAAAATATGAGGTGGGGTATCAGGGGCGATAGTGAACACTGAAGCTACCAAGCGTGATGGTAGGCACGAGGAAGAAGAAAAAGTGATTCCAGTACAGAAATCAAATGATGGAGATTTTAAAAGAGAAAGAATGGAGTGAGTTGTGTGTGGAGAACTATGACCCATTTACTTCCCTGAGAATAGAAAGGAATTGAGACTTCTATTAAAGAGGGGTATAGGAGACATCATTGCCTCTTAATTGTTATCCAAGATTGAATTCCTCATCCCCCCTCATTTGCCTTCTCTTCCCATATCTCTCATTTCTACCAGTCCTATTATCATTTTCCTAGTCTAGCTATTTTAAGAGATAACATCAACATTTTTTCCTTCAGTCAACTTTCATTTTTTAAAGAATTATAAAAGCACCTCAACTATGTACTTACAATGGGCATACCCTTTCATCTACACCGCCGAGAAATCTTACTCTTATCTTATTTTCTTTTGGACTCTTTCTTTTATTTCATTCCTATAACCACACCCCTAGACCAGATTCTCATCACCTCTCCATTGCAAACATGAAATTAGATAGGCTCTCTCTATATCCAGGCTACTTCCTTTCCCAGATCAATCCCACATTCCGTCACAAGCAATTTCCCCAAACACTGCTTTTGTTATATCAAATCCTGCTCAAGAATGTGACTGCGACTCCTTGTTCATGGTGACTTCCTGATGTCTACACACTCCTCTTGTCTGGCTTCCAAGCCAGGATCTGCCTTTGCTTCTTCACACTGATTTTAGCAGAGGCCCACTGATCTACCTCGACTGGTCTTCTCACAATCCTCTGTCCATTCATGTTTTTGCTCAAGCCTACATTTTTTTCCTCCTAGAGGTTACCCCTCTTCTTTGCAGATCTCAATTCTGCCTATCTTTCAGTGCCCTCAGTATGAAATTTTCTGGAATGAAAGTAACTTGTAGTTATCTCTTGGTTAATTAGTGTTTATGTGGCTTAGGATTTAATTCTATAACTGTTGAATCTGCACCACGTCTCCAATTTGGGTTGAAGATTCCTGAATGTAAGAACTCTTAATGTAATAATAAACATTTTTAGAATTGAATGCTATTCTATACTTCTTGTCATCAATAAGGAATTTTCTAGTTCAGTTATTCCACAATATTGAGTGTTAAAAAATTATGGTTTTCTAATATGTGAAAATTTAGAGATGAAGTCTCAGTATGGGTCTAGGTATAACAATTTTTAAATGCTACAATGTTTTGTTCTTTAAAAAATACTTCCTAGGCTTGCATAATTATTGTTTGTGAAATATCATTGTTTTTGGTCCACCTGAATTTGTGTTTTCATTCTAAGATAAAATTTAAGTTCCATGATAATAGGATGAATATCCATGGAATCATTTTTCAAAGTGGTGATCTTTAAACCATTTACCAAAAATACTTGCATTCCCACGGAGGAGTTTCTTCAATTTACATTGGGCTACATTTTGAATGAATGGGAGAAGTATACTTTCTCTTATTCAAGGAATTAAACAGTATTCATATTGTCATTTAGGCCAGTACTTTCACTTTTTATGGAAACTCAGTATTCAGCTGCTCTACAATCACTTTCTATCATTTGGCAGACTCAAAAATAGTATAATGACATATATTACATATTTGGAGCTTCCAGAAATAAAAGAAGAAAAGTTCAGATTGTATTGTTCCCTCTTAGGACTTTTTTCTTTTTTAAAAAAGGTTTATTATGGAAAATTTCAAATATACACAAAATTGAGCAAATACTGTAATCGACTTCCCAGTAGCTGTCATTCAGCTTTGACAATTACCAGTTCATGGCCACTCTTCTAATATACTCCATGCACTCCCCCCACCCCATGCCAATGGGTTAGTTTGAACAGATCCCTGGTACTATATTATTTTATCTATAAATATTTTAGTATGTATATTAAGGATGAGGCCCATTTCAAAAATATAACCACAATATCATCTTCACATCTAAAGAATTGACAACAATGCCTCAATATTGTCAACTATCTGGTGAGCGTTCCGTTTTCCCTGATTATCTCATAATCAGGTTTTTCCAATGTATTCGTTTGAATCTGGACCCAAAGGAGCTGTCCATGTGAAACAAAACCCAGAAAGCAGCATAAATCTGTAAACTAAACTGGTTTCTTGGTAGTAAACCTAATTTAGAAAATAATAAAATCAGTTTATCATCAGTGAGTTCACATATCCATTCTGAGGCTTACAATTTTATGAGCAGTAACATTTGATTCATTTAAATAGGGTTATGACCATAGAACATAAATGCAACAGGAAGAACTGATAGGCTGTCACAGCCATATGCACACGCTGTGCTCGTAAATGTAACCTTCTGTGACCAGTATCTGTGTGTGACGTGAAACGGAAACTCTTTAGCAATGCATTTTTCTCCCTTGTTCCTAAAACGATTTTAAGGTGACTAACTTGAAGGCATTGGCATTTTGCACTAGCATTATGGGAAATATTTATTGGTTTCTTATTTATTTTGTATTCTACAGATCTGCGATAGCTTGTTATATCACATCATTTACACATAGCCAGTGTGTACACACATCGTGGCACATAAACAGAGCCTGATTTGAATTGACATTAAAATCCCAAACTAAAATATAGACTGTAAATGCGCTGGGCATATGAGTCCACACAATTAAAAAAAACTAATGCTATCCATGTTTTGCATTTCTATGTTTCTCTAGCTCAGAGAAACATAGTGTTGTTTTAACTAATGTTTGAGCACCGCTGGGAATTTTAAGAACATTCCTTGGGCTTCCATTTTCTCCTAATTCTTTTCTCTGCTAGTCTAGAAGGTATATCGAGTTGCACATGAGGAGAAGGGCGTGCCCTCCACTCTCCCCAACAGGAAGAAGAAATGTCACTTGCCACTCATTTCCAGAAAGTATCTTGCGTTCATTAGCATTCGGCCTTGAGGTTTCAGCTCTAACTGGTTGAGAGAAGGAAAGAAAGATCAGTCAGAGTATGAAACAAAAGTTGAGTTTAATGACATCATAACTGCTGAGTTTGGTGATGGCAAATTTCCAACGCAAAATGCAGGCATCGCTCCCTTTCATTTTACCCATACACATGATCATAATAGCACAGCATCCATGTACAGCCTTTCTTTCATTAAAACACCTTAGCAGCTCATTACTTTTCCTTGGAGACCAAAACTTCCAGAAGGAAGGAACAAAATTCCAAAACGGATTCTGTCTCATTTACTTGCCCGGGGCTGCTGCTTATCTCGAGTTTTGAAGGACAGATTCAGATCTGAATCCCCAGAAGAGTCACGGTACTGGGACTAGCTCACTCGAGGAACAGGGAACAGGAGGTCTCTGGAAGGAACGATAAATCCTTCACTGAGGGTAACGCCACACAGGCCTCTAGGCTAATCAGGATATGAAATGGAGGTGGCCTTTTTCTTTCACAAGGAGAGCCTTTCTTCCTGGGAAAGTGCTGGATAATCTGCTAAGGGAAATTTTAATTCGATTGGTTTGAGACAGGATAAAATAATATATTTCAGTATCATTATGTAGGAGGGGCCAGAACAAAATGACATTTTAAATGATGTAGGATATCTTGTGATGTGACTTAAGGGGAAAAATGGCAAATCCAGGATAACCTGACAACTGTTGCTAATATATTAAATCATAACACTGTATCATTACTATGCCAAAAAGAATACAAAGGTGAATTGAAGGTCATTATTGATAATTACATCCATGAATTAACTAGAATAACTGAGAAGTAGTAAGAAGTGTCCAGTTGAGCCCAGGGTTGAATTTGAATTGTGGCTAAATCATTTACTGGCTGTGTGACCTTATGCGAGTCACTAAACCTTAAAGATCACTGAAAAATTGATATCATAGCAATAGTTCTGTCACAGCATCACTATGGTTAGAATTTTATGATAAATAAGCTGTACTGCTTGGTCAACTATGAATTCTCATGCAAGCTTAAATAGATTAATAAAAGGAGAAGTGCTTCTGACATCAAGTATATACACCACTGTTCTCGGGTTTGTGGAATACGCAATAAAGATGGTTGCAAAGATGGAACTAGAAGAGCTAGAAAAGGGGCTCATCCCCAAACAAAATGAGTAAAATTGGTACCAGGTGACCACAAAGTTATCAATATTCAGGGCTTAGGGGGGATGGAGGAAATTAAACAAGTTAGCTGCTGGGAAAACAATATCCATATAAAGTCACGGTCCATCACGGTTTTGAGGGTGATTAGGAGATAATGATACAAACAGTAAAACCCTTGGGAAAGCAGGAGACAAGGCTCCATGTGGTGTTTAGAAACTGGATGATGGTGTCTCTGGAGGTGAAAGGCAACTTTGAGAAAATAATTATTTTTTTGGAACAGAGAAATTAATTTTAGGAAAGTAGATTTCAATAGAGAAAGGGCAACTATAAGTCCAAAACAAACTGCTGGCCCATGAACACTATAAATAAAAGTAAACCAAGGAATAACCTTAAAAAAAAAAGATGGAAAAATGTAAAATGGTTGCTAGTTAAATGAGGATCTGAAGGCCACCGAGTGTTATGTCTAAATAATCATAAATAATCAAAAAATGTGATAAGCCTGATAAGAATAAAATCAGAAAAAGACCTAGGCAAGAAACCAAATGCAACTTTGAGTTATCAATAGAAAAGCACTCTGATCATCAGTGACGCTTAACAAAAGGACTTAAAAATTAGTTATCTTTTCATTCATTGAGAAGGAAATCAAATAGCATTACTACTTTTAAAACTAAGGGATTTGATGACTTTTTTTTTTTAATGAGTCAGAAGGCAGAAAATAAATGAAAATGGGGGAAAACTGGGGAAGACTTTCTCTAGTTAATTTCCTCTCTCTCTCAGCCGGATGCTCCTCTGTTTCAGGCCCAGCTGCAGCCTCACCCCTCCCACTCACCTGGTCTGTCTAAACCCTTTAACACTAAGTCACATGCCTGAGACATTATCCAGGTTTTTCATGTCTTCCTACTTGTCTAAACAGTGATCCCGGAGGAGTTCTGTTTTTCTGTCCCCCCTCCCCAAGCTGAACCTGGAAATGCTCAATAGATTCTGCTGAACTGAGTGATCTAAACACATCTGACTAAGCATGGGATCCTTTTTTTTTTAAAACCTTGGTATATGCTTATCTTTAAAGATGTAACTTTAGTGACACAAGCAAAGATTTATATAAATACACATTTTCCTAAAAAAGACTGAATTTTTTTAAGGTCACAAATACAAAGTTGACACAAAATTCTAGTTTTTTGGCTTTTATCATTCCCATTTTGAAACCTGTGACTTGAAAGTCTTTTTTGGGTGAAGTTATTAAAAATCTGAGCTATAGGAAATAAACAGAAAGGTTAGATTCTCTCCTTTTGCATAAATGATATCAATGTTTGAAAACATTTTCTGGGGCTCAGATCATTTAAGAGCAGTTTTTACTGAATATATATATATATATATATATATATATCAGTATTCGTTTTTTGGGTCCCAGAAATTTTCATTAGAATTTTTTATGCTTTCATATTTTACTCTTCCCTTTAACATTTCTAAACATTTGCTACCAAAACAGTAACAACCTAAGTTTTCCAAAACTTGGTGTAGTAAATGTTAACATGGATTGTGTATGACGTACTTTTTAGTAAAAGTAAGCTAAGTGAATACATTATGGCTAGAACAATTTATAGGGATTAACAAACTAGGGTGAGAAAAGACCAAACATTAAATGGATCTTTGTTCTGTCCTCTCACTTATCTACCTATCATCTTATCTACTTTATAAGATATCAAGATATCTTGATAAATAGACAACAGTAATGGTGAGGTTCCCAAGTTAGGGGAAATGTGTCATATTTTGAGCTTAGTATTAGTTATAAATCAGTAACAGTTCTTCATAGCCTAAGCGACCTTCTCCACCGTACACAGGAATCAGAGATTTGAACACGTCAATATGTTCAATATGACCACCACACAGTAGTTCTGAAGCTGATGTTGAATAATATTGTATGTCAACTATAATTATATATACATATAGTCACGGGATGTGGAGTAGA